TCATGTGGATCCAAGGTTGGCAGGCATGTGGCAGGGCACTGACAGCTTCCAGAGTCAGCAGGCCTCAGAAGTCAGACACAGGAGCCAAGCAAGCAGGTAGAAGAGGGGCAAGAAAGAGGCCAGTGATTCAGAGCATCTCATCAACAGGCCACACTCCCAAGGAGACATCATCAGACTGTGACCTGCACTTTAGGGAGGAGGGCTTACTGCCAAATCACAGAGAATCCCAGTTAAGCCAGGTTGACACAAAATGTCACCGGTACAGGGTCTTCTTTCCTTTCTGCATCTGAAGGTCCCGCCTCCCTTGGGGATCTTCATGTGTCTTGGCATTAAGTTTCCTCTGGGTTTGTTGTTAGGTGCCATTGAGTTGGCTCTGACCCATGGGGACCCTAAGCACAATAGAACGAAACGCTGCACAATCCTGTGCCATCTGCACAGTTGTTCCCATGCCCGATCCCATTGTTGCAGCCACAGTGTCAGTCCAACCCATTGAGGGCCTTCCCCCTTTTTTGCTGCCCTTGCACTTTACTAAACATGATGTCCTTCTCCAGGGACAGGTCTCTCCTAGTATGTCCCAAGCATTTAAGATGAAGTCTTCTATCCTTGCCACTAAGAAGCATTCTAGCTGTACTTCTTCCAACACAGATTTGTTTGCACAGATTAGGCAGGGTTGTGAGGGGATTAGGGATGTTGCACCCCAATTATAATTCTCTTACAATCACATTGTGGAGGATCACCATGCAACTGCCAAACCACTGAGAATCGTGACCAAGAAAAATGGACACACATCTTTTGGGACACAATTGAATCCATTTTAGGGAGATTTCACTTTTTAGCTTCTAAACATTCAAGAATTATGCTTATTCTTATGCTTCAGCCCACTGTTGCAGCCACTGTGTTGATCCATCTAATTGAGGATCTTCCTCTTTCACTGGGTCTTCACTTTACTTCATTGTCCTTCTCCAGGGACTGGTCTCTTTTGACATGTCCAAAGTATGTAAGGCTGAGTCTCATCATTCTTGCCTCCAAGAAGCACTCTGGCTGTCCTTTCTCCAAGACCAATGTTTGTCCTTTTAGCAGTCCATGCTACTTTCAATATTCTTCTCCAGCACTACTATTCAATTGCATCAATTCTTCTTGGTCTTCCTTATTCAATGTCCAACTCTCACTTGCTTATGAGGAAATTGAAAATACCATGGCTTGGGTCAGGAGTACCTTACTCCTCAAAGTAACACCCTTGTTCTTCAATACTCTAAAGAGGTTTTGTGCAACATATTTACCTAACCCAATGCAGCATGTCTTTTGATCTCTTGATTGCTGCTTCCATGAGCATTGATTGTGGAGCCAACCAAGACAAAATCCCTGACAACTTCAACATTTTTTCCATTTATCATGATGTTACCTATTGGTCCAATTGTGAGGGTTTTGGTTTTCCTTACGTTGAGTTACAATCCACACTGAAGGCTGCAATGATTCATCTTCATCAGCAAGTGCTTCAAGTCCTTCTCACTTTCAGCAAGCAAGTTTGTGTCACATGCATGTCACAGGTTAATAAGCCTTCTTCTAATCATAATGCCATATTATTCACAAAATTCAGCTTCTCTGATGATTTACTAAGCATACAGATAGAATAAGTATCGTGAGAGTGTAAGACTCTGATGCACACCTTTCCTGATTTTAAACCAGGCAGTATTTTCTTGTTCGGTTCCCTCAACTGCCTCTTGATCTATGTACAAGTACCACATGAGCAAAACCAAGTGTCCTGGAATTTCCATTCTTCTTAAGGTTATCCATAGTTTATTATGGCCCACACCTTTGAACGCCTTCGCATAGTCAATAAAAACAATTATCTTTCTGGTATTCTCGGCATTGACCTAAGTAAGATTCGTTTGACATCAATGATGATATTCCTTGTTCCACGTCCTTCTGAATCCTGCCTGAACCCCTAGCAGTTCCCTGTCAATGTACTATTGCAACTGTTTTTAGATGGTTCAGCAAAATTCTGCTTGTGTGTGATATTAACAATATTGCTTTATAGTTGAAACATTCTGTTGGGTCACCTTTCTTTGGAATGGGCACAAATATGCATCTCTTCTAGTCACTTGGCCAAATAGCTATCTTCCACAGTTCCTGGCACAGATAAGTGAGTCTTTCCAGTGCTTCATCAGCTTGTTGAAACATTTCTATGGGTATTCCATCAATTCCTGAAGCCTTGTTTTGGGGTAATGTTTTCAGTGCAGCTTGAACTTCTTTCAGTACCATTAGTTCCTCACTGGTATACACAGAAATAAAATTGCCTACATCTATGGGAAGAGATGGTGGAAAGGGGCTGAATATCAGCCAGTAAAACTAGACCAAGGGCCTATTGTGGAACAGACCATCAATTGCTCGTTTGTAAGTTTGGGTTGAAGGTGAAGAAAATTCAAACAACTCCACCAGAGCAAAAATACAGCCTTGTATATATGCCATTTGAATTTCAAGAACAATCTTAAGAACAGATGTAACACACTGAATACTCAGGACATACCTGATGAGCTGTGGGTGACATCAAGAACATCACTCAAGAAGAAAGCAAAAGGTCAGAAAAAAGACCAACGTGGATGTCAGAAAAGCAAACAACTCGTTACATTGGGTCAATCTGCTGCATAAAACCTCTGTAAATTGTTGAAAAGCAAGGATGTTACTTTGGAGGTCTAAGGTGTCCCTGATCCAAGCAATGGTATTTTCAATCGTCTCCTATGCATGTGAAAGTTGGACACCGAATAAGGAAGACCAAAGAGGAATCCATGTATTTGGATTATGGTCCTCTTAAAGAATACTGAAAGCACTCTGGTCTGCCAAAAGAACAAATACATATGTGTTGGAAGACGTACAGCCAGAATGCTTCTTAGAGGTAAGGATGGAGAGATGTTGCCTCACTTTGGACATGTTATCAGCAGAGACTAGTTCCTAGACAACAACAGTGACTGGTAAAATAGAGAAGTGAAAAAGAGGAAGACTTTTGACAAGCTAGATTGACATAGTAGCTGCAACTATGGGTTCAAACATAAGAATAATCGTGAAGATGGTCCAGATGGTATTTTGTTTTTTCCCCCTGTTGTACACAGGGTCACTTCGGATTGGAGCTACCTCGAAGGCATCTAACAACTTTGTGACTAGCATTCAAATACCACCAGAGTTCCTCACCCAATCACATTATTGGCAAAATCCATCTTCATCTGTAACTCCTGGATACACGTTATCTGCTTCCAAAGCACAATTATGGAACTAGCATAAGGTAGTCCCAGACAAATGGGAGCAGTTGGGAGGGAGAAAGGGGATAATGGGTATCAAGTTAAAAACCCAGCAGAACAATTTACATGAACTCTCAAGGCTTGTAAACAATCCTCTGAGGCCTTCTAGACAATGGTCATGTCCTCCAGGCTCATTGGAAAGGCAACTCGGCTCCTTTAGCTTTGGGCAGCTCCATTTTCCTAGTCTGAGAAGTGCCCTCCCTCTCTTGGCCTCAGTGAGCCCCCTGTTCCTTTGTCCCCTAGGGCATTGGCCACCCCACACCCTCAGCTTTGTACCTCATCTTAATGGCAGCTCTACACTGAAGAACTGAGATGGTGAAGATCGTTGAAACTTGGGAAACTGGTCTCACTGTTAAAATCCCCTGAGGCCATTGCTCCATTCTTTGAGACTCCGGAGGGCATGGTCTTATATTTTGAAACCAAATACATCTCTACTTCCCATGCTTCTTGTCCTTCAGCTTGTTTTCAAACTCCTTAGTCTCTCAAAGATGCCAGACTGGCCTTTGCCCTGACTGAGCAAGTGTTCTAAGCTCTTCAGGCCTATTGATATAGGTCTAGAGGCACTTTCTTTTCCAGCAAGCCTTGGGACAAAGGCACTCAGCTTTTTGCCCCATGGACTGGCAAACCTAGCTACTGCCCTAAGGTGTTCAGCCTTTAGGCTCCAGAGGTTGGATCCTGCACTGTCTTTCATGGGTGTCCTTGTTCCACTGCTGCTACTTCTATGCCACTGCTCGGATGTTACAATTTTCCTCATTTCCTTCTGAGTCCCAACTAAAATTCCCTTTGACAATGGGATGGACATAATTCCACCAACAATCTCTTCAAGGTCATTTAGGGTCTTTAGAATTAGGAACCTTAGAACTCTTCAACCACTACTTATTATCCAATTCCAAAACTGTTTCCATGTTTCAGGTATCTGTTAGAGAAGCACCCTATCTTCTGGCATCAAATTCTGCCTTGGTTATCAAATGCCACCGTCAGAGATCATACAAGTGAATGGCTTTAACAGACAGAAATGCATTGTCTCACAGTTTAGGATGTTAGACGTCCATCCTATGGACTTCAGAGTGTCCATTCTAGGGGAAGGCTTTCTATCTGTGTCAGCTCTTGGGAAAGGTCCTTGTCTCCTTTCATCATCCAGGCCAGGCATTCCTTGGAGATATCCATGTGTCTTAGCATCAATCTCCCTTTGGATCTAGGAGTTTCTCAGTGCAAGGACCCCCAGGTCCAAAGAACATGCACCATTCCTAACCCCTTTTCTTTGGTGATTGTAGGTTCTTTGAACCTTGCACATTTTTCTCCCCCTTTATCTCTTGTACGATAACAAAGATGTTACAGGTCATACTTCAGGGACATTTCCCTGGTGAATAGAAAATCATGTAAACATATATTATGTACAAGAGACACATTTTTAGGCCCATGGGATAATGAAAAATATTATCCCATGCAAATAATAACCAAACAAAAATGTGATCTTATTAACACACAAAATATTCTTTCAGCAAAAGTTTGTTATAAGAAGCAAAGTTTTTACATAATGACAAAAGCATAAATATACAGTCAATTAAAAATACATATGCATCTAAAACTTAGACAGTCCTCACCAAACGCAGTGCTATCAAGTCAATACTGACTCACAGTGACCCTGTAAGTTCTAGGTAGAACTGCCCCTGTGGGTTTTTGATACGAACTCTTTATGAGAATAGAAAGCCTCATATTTCCCCTTTGGAGCAGCTGGTGGTTTTGAGCTGCTGACTTTGCAGTTAGCAGTATGCCACCAGATATCAATTCATTGCTTTCAACACTACACAGGACATCTATTATAAGGTCAAGAAGAAAACTGAGGGCCTGATCACTACAAATTAGTCAGACCCATATGAGTGAGCCATCTTGACAGTGGACCACTCATCCCTAATGACTACAGCTTACTCCAATTATGGCTGACATATTGTAATCTCATGAAAAATTTGGAACAAGAACCACAGCTTATTGAACACTTGATCTAAAGAAACTGAATAATGTTTGTTTTCCAGAAAAGTTTGTTATACAGAATCAAATAGCCAACTATATCCAGTGTGAGTTCTCGCAAGTTTTTCAAAAAGTGATCCATGAATGCTCTCCTACAGTTGTTGCACTTATAGCTACCTATCATGTATCCGCTTATGCACAGAAAGGTAAGAGTTACTGCTGAAGGCTTTTCCACACTGATTACATCCATATGGTTTTTCTCCTGTGTGAGTTCTCATGTGCTTCTTAACAGAGGAAAGATTATTAAATGCTTTCCCACAGTCATTACATTCATAAGGCTTTTCTCCATTATGTATTCTCTTATGGACAGTAAGAGAAAAGCTACTGCTGAAGGATTTCCCACATTGATTACATTCATATGGTTTTTCTCCAGTATGAGTTCTTATATGCTGTGTTAGATGTGAGCGCTTCCTAAAGGTTTTTCCACAATCATGACACGCATACGGTTTTTCACCTGTATGAATTCTATTGTGCACAGTAAGAGAAGAGCGTGTGCTAAAGGCCTTTCCACACTGGTTGCATTGATAATGATTCTCCCCAGTATGAACTCTCTTGTGTGTTTTGAGACTACATCTAGTGCGGAAGAGGTGAAGGCACTGATTGCATTCATACGGTTTTTCACCAGTGTGAATTCGTACATGTAGTCGAAGGGAAGATGGATTACTGAAGGCTTTTCCACAGTCACTGCATTCATAGGGCTTCTCTCCATTATGTATTCGCTTATGAACAGTAAGGTAAGAGCTACTGCTGAAGAACTTTCCACATTGGCTACAATCAAAGGGCTTTTCTCCAGTATGGATTCTCTTGTGCTGAGTAAGGTTTGATTTTGTGCTGAAGATTTTAAAACACTGGTTACATTCATTGAGTTTCACTCCATGATGACTTTTCTCCTGTTGATGAAGAGATACATGGTGACTATAATTCCTAATATTTTAAATATTAAGTCCTGCCAATCTCTGCCCAAGTTCTTAGAAGTGAAATAAGGGACTCTCTAGCACAAACCTTTAGTGTATTCACAGATCAGCCTCTGACAAATTTAAAGTTAATTTATATTCCAAATACTCCATATGTGAGTCATGTTCATGAAAATTCTTACTAATGGGAATTCTAGAGGAAATATAACTTGGAGGCTAACTTAACTTGTCTCCAAATTTACAAGTTTTATAGTTTCTCTTCAGATACTACTTATGGTTAAATGCCACTTGCTTCAATGACTCTTCTGGTTATATTGAGTGTTCTTAAACATTTGTGGCAAACATGAACTTACTCATATAGATCTTACCATTTTCACACATTTAGATTGTTCTTTTTTATAGACAGGTCGCTTAGAAATTAGCTCATTGGCTTTAAGTACAGGTTGTAAATCTGAAACAAATTGAAAATAATTTAAGTTGTTGGAGAAAATAAATGACAAAACAAACAACAATTAAAGACAAACTCAGAATTTGAGGATTACGTGCAGGTTCATAATCAAAGAGACTAAAAGTGCCAACCAGAATGAACTGGACGAAGATCTCATGTAAGACTATAAAATTCAAGAAAAACAGAAAGACCATTTCTTGACCTTCTTTAGGCTAAAGTATGAGATAATGAATGGAACGTTAAAGATGAAATTTTCTCAATCTCCTTGTCAGATAAAGAGGCTTTTTTTACAAAGTCCCTGGGGTGACTTAACATAACACTTCCATCCTGTACTCATTGACCAAAGGTGCTGATCATGAGAAATGCAGTACTCACCTGGGAGAATTAGTCTCTTTTCTGTCCTCATCCGGTCTTGTTGCAACTGGGAGATCAAACTAGGTTTATCCACTTGTTTTCCTATCCCTGGAAAAAAGAGACACAATATAGGGGGACTGTGCAGGAGATAAGAAGTACCTCAATGAAATAACAGCCAACATTTATAGAGATGGGTAAATATGACTTTAGAAACAATGAAATAACCTTGTTTAAATTCTAATGAAGAAAGTAAATGTCCTTCACAAAGAGCAAAAATGCAAATATCCTCCTTCAATATTTGAGGTGACTGGGGAAAACTGGTATAGAAACTTATGGCTAAGTTCTAATATACACTCCAGAAGTCCCAAAGCATTTAATCATAGAAGATAAAAAGCCAGGACAAGGAGGTTTTAGTCCACAGTAAAGGAAATATATAGCAAAGTCTTTGAAAGTAGATTATTTCTTTCCTGTAAACTAGGATATTCTTAATTCCCAACAGATATGAGAACATAGCTAGTATTTTAGAAAAAAACATCAACTAAAACATTAAATAAATGAAGCAATGAAGTTGCCCTCAGCAAGGGATGCTAGGTTGCTGTTGCTCTCTAGCTTTATATCTCTGTATCTTTTCTCTTAGAGAGGTCTGGTAATAGTCACTGCTCCTGGACAAATTCCACAGCCACAAACATCACCAATTCCCTACCCTATCATGCTCAGCCCAAAATCACCCTGTAGTTTGTGTCATAGCAAGAAGGTCATGGCTGACAAAACAAGGAGAGAACCAAAGCACCACATGCATACCACACAAATACTCATTACACAAATTCACATGAATCAGTACCATAACTTGTTTAGGTCTCTGCTCAAATGCCCATTTACCGAAAAGCTTTCTCTTCCCAGTCTCCATAAATCTGATGTTCAAAGTCTCCTCTCTCTTATAAGGCATTATGGATTATATGATATTCCCTCCAAAAGTTATGTTAAAGTTCTAACCCTATTTGTTAGAAAATAGGGTCTGTGAAGATGTTATTCTGAAGTCACACAGGAGGAGTAGGGTAGGTTGCAATTCAATCTGAGTCTCTATAAAAAGTAGGCACAGAGAGAAAAAATGGGAAGACAGCCACGTGAATATGTTTCCTGTTCCTTATAAGCCACGAAACACCACAAATCATTTAGGGTTTACAGAAGTCAAGAGAGGATCTTCCTACCGAAGCTTTTGAGAAAGAATGACCACCCCGCTGATACCCTGAATTCAGATTCTTAACCTGCAGAATAATAGAATACATTTTTGTTCTTTAAAACCATTCACCTTTAAGTACTTTAGTACAACAATCTTAGGAAATTAATATACAATATTTTATTTTTCTGTAAAACACAATCATATATCTTCTTGATTTTTCTATAATTTGTTTCTATCTCATTAAAATAGAAGTGCCTCAATAACAAACCTTTAGTTTCATTTGGTGCTCAAATAGTACTTGGCACATCACATGTAATAAATAGTGGCTTAAGAACATGGTCTGCCTGGGTTCAAAGCTGGCATCTACAACTTACTAGCCAGTAAACTATGGTAAGTAAGTTAAATGCACTGTGTCAGTTTACTAATCCGTAAAATGGGTTTAAATAGTACACATTTCATTAGTTTATAATGAGTATACTCAATTAGTCAATAGGCATAGAGTACTTTGAAGAATGTTCTTTGGGAAATGTTACATAAATATTTAATATATATATATAATTATTAGTTATCTGTTGTTAACAAATGTGGCTTGTGAATGAAAGGAATGATTAACAAGACAGTTTCTAAATTTACACACACCTAGTTACGTTGCACCAAAAAATATAAAGGTAAAATTAATTAAAGGAATTTTAAACTCCACAATTATAGAAGATTTTAATATATCTTTGTCAAGAGAACCTATGAAAATACATGTTACATTTGAAAATAGTTAACTGGCTTAGCATATACTAGCTCCCCAAATTAGAGAATAAACATTATTCTCAAAGAAACATGACGTTTTTATAACAACTGACCAATTTATCAGCTAAATACTACATTCAGATAAAGATGAACAGAAAACCACCTTAAACAATAAAGTATTTTGGCTTTAATCAGTAAGTGGCTACTTTTAATCATGAAAGCAGTCATCTAAGAATAAACAGCAGAGTTGATGCAACCAATAAAATGTTTGTCAGGAGGCCCCTGCTGCAGGTCTAAGAGTTCAAGTGACAGGCAAAGTGGCAACCCTATTTCACAAAACCTTTCGGAACACTGTGGCCTACAGGTATCCAACAAGCACCTTCTCCACAGCCAAGATTCCCCAAAGAAATGTTGGCTCGGCTGAAAGGGCAGTGAAGGCAGGAGCCCAAGAGGAGGTCAAGGGGGTTGTCGGTGAAACCGGGCCTGAGAAAGTGGAGACAAAGCCAAAGAAGGCAGCAGGAAAGGCTAAATAAAAAAGTGCAAGCAAAAGGGAAGAGAGGAGGAGCAAAGGGAAAGCAGGCTGAAGGGGCGAACCAAGAAAATAAAGATTGACCTGCCGAAAATGGAGAATCAGAAAACAAGGAGAGTCCAGCCTTGGATGAAGCAGGAGAAAAAGAACCCAAATCTGATAAATGGTTTTCTTCCGTGTCTTATCAGTGAGCCCTGCTATCGCCTTCTTGTACAACCAAGAGACAGATTTTTTACCAACTCTTTCATAATGCAAGTTCTTAGTAGCACTAGAAACATTTTTTTTTTTTTTTTACCCACAGCCATGGAATACTCAATGAAGCACTGTTCTATTTTGAGACCCGGGGGTGTTGTCATGAATCAGAATCCACTGGACAGTAACTGTTAATTTGTTTTGTTTATTTTAGAAACATTTTTTTAAGGAGGAAATCACACTCGTTCTTAAAATGCTTTTGTTAAGATGTGAAATAATTTACTAGTTGATTTAGATTTTAGTACAACCAGTAAATAGTGGTTGTTGAACGGTGGGAAGGTATGGCTATCTTGGGTGTCAAAATAACATTCCATGGGATGGGGGATTTTTTGTTTCCCTAACACAAAACATACTTTATGGCAATTTGGAATCACCATCATGCATTTGTATGACTTGAATAGCTTAAATTGTTTCCCCGTTTTTATAGTAAAATTATGTCTGAAATTGTTCCCTCACTCTGGCTCTCTTAACTGTGTGCATTCCATAGCACCTTTGGTCGTGGTAGTCCCAGTTTTCCTGATATCCTTGTTATGCACTGTAAAAGGTTGAACATTTGAGTGTATAGTGTGTATGACATTAAGTTGTGCACTGATGGGAGTTATAACAGCTTATTAACATTTGAAGATAATGGTATTTGATATCCTCTTAAGGAAAATTTCTCCCCTAAATTTAAAGTTGGAAACAGCAAAGGGAAACACTTCAATGGAATTTAGAAATGAATTTTAACTACATGTCATTTTAGGATGTTGGTTTGTGATGAGCCAGTCAGGGTGCGATGTAG